TGGACGCATGCGTGATGAATGTGCGCATGCGTAGTAGCGGAAGTTACATTTTCGGTAGGTGTAACATTTTCGGTAGTGACAGCTGTACACTCTTGGCCACTTTACGTCCCTTAAAATCACGTATTTCCTGTGGAGGTGACGTATTTCCGGTGGAGCTCCACTCTACAGGCGTCTGCAGCTGGACACTCTGTCCCTTTATAGGCCTTCTGGGGTGTCGCCCCCCCCCCGTCTCGGTAATTTTCCCTTTGCCTGACTACAACACATCTTGACATTTGCTCTAGTTAGCCAGTGAGTACATGTTCCTAATTAATCAGTAAGTACGTGTTTCCTTCTTTTGTTAAGCATAAGGAAAAATAAGTATCCGTTCTATGATGGGTTCCTGTTTTCCTCGTGTCTCGTGCCAGGTCGTCCTGACCTGCCGGCGTACCGTCAGTTCCCAATTTCTCCAAACTGGGTGGGGTGAAATCACCCCGTCCTACCGGGCTAGTATCAGTTCCCAAATCTGATGTCTACATTATGTTAGACATATTATTAGAATTAGTAAGTAAATTAGGATATGATTAACCCCTCAATTGCAATGGTGGTTGAGCGTGCGGAGAGCGGGAGCTTGGATACCCCGCCTTGTTTGGCGTCAGGCCGACTCCGTGTGTTTGTTTTACTGCTCCCTAAACGCCATGTGCTTTTAACTTAGTATTTGGGATGAAAACATCCGCTCACCACTAATGCACGGAACGTACTGCTAATTTTGCGAATTATCGCGAGGACTGCGGAACGCAGGTGTATCTGTGGCGGGCAGCTCTTCTGCAAGTTATTTGCCTAAGAGGACATCAAGCAACAGAACCTTTCAAACAACCGCGCTGCTGGTGGAAACAGGCGATGGTGGCACACATGACTGCTTTTGGGAGCTCGTCTGATAATTTCAAAGAAGGGTAAGCTGAAGGTGCAACTTGACAAAAGTGTGCAGCGAGTAACATGTTATTCTGCGATAACTGGCATGTGTAGATCCCTCTTGGTAATGAAAGGAGGAAGTATTAGCTTAATGACAGCGTTTAAAGAAAGGGTGAAAGTACTCATCGCATCCGCAGGATTAACAGTGTCCAATAACGATGCAATGTGATAGCGACGCCATTATTTCTTTGTTGATGTTGCTTTGCAGGCTCTTTTAGACGATACGGAAATATATTATATTTATAATGTTTACGATGCTTTTCACTTTATATAGTTTCCTGTAGTAAAGCATGCGCAAGCGCCTTCATAAAACAGCTTTAGGGCATGTAACAATGGGTCAGGACGGATTGCAGAGCTCGCGATTACTCAGCTTGCATAGAAACATAAAGAATTATTAAGACCTCAGGCTATACTTTTTTGATGATTATAACAAATTATGAACGTAGTTTATCAAGAAACGCAATAGGCATCACCATCCAGTTAATTCTTGGCTGATGACAATGTACTTTAATAGTGTTGTCTAATATTAAACCATTTTAGTTCTTCATAGCCCAGTCCTCGCAGACCTTTTTACGGTCCATCCCTTTACTCGCCTAGCTCTGACCACACCTGTACCAGGTATTCCCTATTATTAATTGTTTGGCTCGTTCCTGATTAGTTACCGCTTGAGCTGTCGTGATTACTCGATTATTTGAAAGCGTCCATTAAAAATCTCGATTATTCAGCAATATGGTGGAAGGGAGACGGTGCGTAATGGAAAAAGGTGAAAATAAAGAGCGAAAACCATCAGTTGTGTGGAAGTACTCCAGATTAAAAGTGAATGATAATACTTAGCCTCTCGGAGTAGCCTTGCCTGTTTTTGTCATTTATCTAACTGTGTTTAAATTGTTTTGCTTAATTTACTTTCTATGCTTCCTTTATGTTAAAATAATCGCTGCTGAAACATAAATTAGCCTAGTCATTTAGCCACATCATATTGCATCATAAGATCCATATTAATCGTATAATATTTTTTGGGAACATATTGTGTGTGTAGGGGTGGGGCAGTAGTTAGCACTGTCGCCTCACTCTTCTGAAACCTGGGTTTGAGTCTCTGCCAGGGTTCCATGTATGTGGAGTTTGCATGTTCTCCCCGTGTTGTTGTGGGTATTCCGTTTCCCCCCCACAGTCCAAAAGCATGCTAAGGCTAATTGGGGTTTCCAAATTGCCCATAGGTGTGCATAGGTGAGTGAATGGTGTTTGAGTGTGCCCTGTGATGGGTTGGTGCCCCATCCTGGGTTGTTCCCTGCCTTGTGCCCTGTGATGGGTTGGTGCCCCATCCTGGGTTGTTCCCTGCCTTGTGCCCGAAGCCTCCGGAATAGGCTCTGGACCCCCTGCAGCCCTGACCAGGATAAGCAGTTTCAGAAAATGGATGGATGGATATTGTATGTTTTAAATAAGTCTGAACGATTTTGATGTTTGGGCTCCCGTTTCCTGTCCACAACATCAATTTTTTTTCTGCATGCCACCTAGTATGACTAATGGCTGCTACTTCCACTGCGCAGGAGCGTAGCGTACGTACTCCCAGCATCCTAGTTCTTTGTACTTAAGTATAACCTTAAAATAATGTTGAATAACAACTTACGAACATTTCAAGTTACGAACGGCCCTTTGGAACGTATCTCATTCATAAGTAGAGGAGCGTCTATACTAGATAATTTTGAAAAGGAACCATCAATAAAAATGCTTGCTAAATTCTGTGTCTTATGACCATAATTAAGGCTATTGTAGGGGGGGTGGCTAAAACACCCATAAAATGTTCATTTAGCCTCCCCCAATAAATGAGTGTTTATTGGCTTAAGTCATGAATAATTTGCCATTCAGCGCTCCCCCATTAAAGACACAGCATATGCATTGAATGGTGAACTTCTGATCCTAAGCCTCTGTGATCAGAAGGTTGCCAGTTCAAGCCCTGCCTCAGCATATCCGTGAGTCCTTGAACAAGACCCTTGACCCTCAGCTTCCTGAGCACTGCAAGGGGTGGCTGCCCTTCACGGCCAAGCTTGCTATCATGGAGAGCAAGATGGGGGAGGTGAAAAGAGAATTTCCCTGTCTAATTTATTTATTATTATTGTTGTTATTATAGTATACATGATATTAACATTGCACATAGTGCAAGTCAGTCAGGACAGCACTGTGGTGCAGCAGGTAGTGCTGTGTCTGTGCACTGATACTTTGTGGAGTTTGCATGTTCACTCTGTGCAGGTGTGCCCTTTTGGCAGTATCTTCAGTTTCCTTGTACTATCCAGAAACATGCAACTTAAATGAACCGGAGTGGCTCAATTTAACTGTATGTGTGACCGTGCAGTGGTTGGTTGGTTCCTGCCTTGCGCAGAATGCAATGTATATCATATCATAAACAATTACTCAGTGATTTGTCAGATTAATCGGTAGATTACTCAATTATTGATATAATCAATAGTAACAGCCCTAGTTCTGGTGTGTTGGGAGCTGGGAAGAAACAAAAATGTGAACTTTCTGGGAGTCCCCAAGGACTTAATTTAGAAAAACACTGCACTAATTAATTTATCTCCATTTTGGCTATATGTGCATTGTGGTGTTGGCTGTGATGTGGTCATTAACTGAAGTAAGTTTGTATGGTTTATTGTTTTGTCAGAACATGCTGTGAAAACATGGATAGCGAATATGTACTATGTAGAACTATGGAAATTTATATTGGACTTTATTATTTGTAACCCACAGAAGACAATCCACAAACATGTACCACAATCCACAAATATTTCACTGTCCACAAATATGTATTTTTTGTTGTGTAAAATCATATCCTCAAAAATACAAAGTAATTTGTACACATGCAATGGGTTTTTTTCCACATTTGTTTCACTTCCTGTCTATTTGTGGAACACTTGAGTTTTGTGACTTCCTTCCTAATTTATTTGTGAAATTTTGTCTGTACTGCAGCTGATCTGAAAAAAAGCTACACCTCTTATTTGTTTTTATTAGCTACACCAGCAGGTATAGAATGTGGAAGAAGGCTAAGATACGAGTTGCTAGTTAAACTCCGTGAAAATCAGCACTAATTAATCCATAGTGTTTGGTTAGTGTTACATTTGTTCTGTTTTGCACTGCAAAAATTAGGACTTGGGCTGCTTTCATTTCTAAGAATATAGCAAATACTTTTTTCCATACAATGACGTCTGCCAGCCTTCATACAACAGCGCACAGATGTGAAACCTGTCTGGTTCTTTAGTGCTGTGTTTGTGTAGGTGGCACTGTGGATATGCACTGCTGCTTTGTATGTGTGGAGTTTGCATGTTCGCCCCATGTGGGTGTGGCTTTTTGGTGGAGTCTCCATATATCATTCAAATTGATATTGGTTCCATTATCTCAAACAAATATAACATTTCAGTTAACTAAGGAAAAAAGCCCAATAATATAACTTTGTAATACTGTAAAAACACTGCCTGTACTCTGTCAGTATCAAAAACTCTTGCTGGCTCATCAGAGTTGAGGTCTCAAGTTAAATCAATAAGTAACCATAGACTAATTTTCTTATTTGGCAGTAGATAAACTCAGATTTTTATTTTTTTTTATCTGTTTACTTGTGGGTATTTGGCGAAGTACTCAGTACCATGTTACTGAAGAGAACACTAGGATGCTTGTGAGGGTTTGATAGTAGTAGTACTTAAGTATCACTCTATACTGTCTGGTAGATTTTTTTTTTCTTAAACAAAGTTATGTGGCTATGTTTTATGTGGCTGTGCTTCATATGGTAAGTTACCTTTTGTTTGTTTTGATAAAGTAACGCCGCAGATGATTCATTGTGCTCCTGAACCTGCTATTCTCGTTTGGTCGGTATCATATTGTACAGATTTTCCTTTGGATCAGATTTTTGATAACCATATGCAAGTCTCTACCAGCCTGCACATTCGGTGAGCTTCTCCCAAATTTAGTTTGACCGTTTAAAATACATAACCTAGTATATAGGGTGCAATCATTACTTTAATTTACTTTAATTTTCTTTAATACAGGGCTCCTAAAGTGATGCCAAGGAGTCTTGATAGGTGATACTCAAAAACATAATTTCTCTTTTTTTTAATTCCTTTTTTTTTTTTACTTCAGTTGTAGCCTTTGCATTAGTTAGTCATTTAAAAAAAAAATGATTTTGCATCGTACATGAACAGGGACATTGTTATGGATGCAAGATGATAACAGATCCCTGAATTCCTGCTGTTGTTTTGCTTGAGGCAGATAGTGAGTCACAGCAAGTCATTAACACAGGCTGACCTTGCCAGCTCTCTCTGCACAATACTCAGACCTCTGTTCTGAGAGAGTGCAGCTGTTATTCCCACAGCTTCTGTGTTCCTCATGTCCAACCTTCCCCCCTTCAATGTTTGAAAAATTGTTTACCTGATCCAAGGTGTAAACATCTCGGTTCTCCTGTTGTTTTCAAGGACAGTTATAAACATGCCACAATTCAGTAACAAACACAGTTCCTCTAATTACAGTATTTAATGGGAAGTGTCAATGTTACGTAGCATTCACTGAAATGATCATTTTAAAGGACATAACCCAGGGTTCCTGTGTACAGTGTGTCAGGAATTACTATACAAATGTGATAATTTGAACACCTTGACCGAATTGGTCAATAACTATACATACTAAGAGAGGCTACATGGTGGATTTTTTTTGGAAGATCAAAGTTGGTTCAGGCTATTCAAATGAGTATTTAAAAACAACATCTACAAATGTCTGTCTGAGATTCTGCAGGGTATGCTTTATTTTCTGAATGGGTAAGATTTTGAAACCATATGTTTCATAAATGAAAATACCATTTAAGAGGTTTTTCCATTACTCAAGAACAAGAAACAATCAGTTTTACATGTTAATATAACCATCTTTTTTTCCTCAGTTCTAAATTTTTCATCCATTGAACTTGTAAGAGTGTTGAGGGTTTCAGGAGTTACAGCTTGGACAGCACTTTGAATGGCATCTCGCAACTCTGACTTACTCTTCTGATGCTTTCCACTAGGGGTGGGTGATACAGCTTCAAAATATCATGATATTTCGAGAAAGTTGTGATTAATGATATTTATGATGATATAGAAAAAAAATACTGAACGTTTCATCGGTGAATGTAACTTGCAGGCAGCAACATTTATTATTGCAAACAAAATGAAGGGGATTTTCCATCCGTTTAAGTAAGCTACTGTCATTGATGACAGACTACCTAATTCAATGTGTGAATGTTTCCACACGGTGTCAGCAGCAGCATTGTAGTACAATAATTGTGACCCAGCATTATATACCGTGACGGAGCATAACTCAATGGTAAGCAGAAACATAGCCTAGGTAGTTTAATAATACTATAACTAAAGTAACTCAACCATGTAACTCTTCAGAAGCCTCCACCATATTGTCGCCTAATAAAACTGACCTCAAATTTTAAGTACGAATGTAAACATAACCTTCAGTAAAAATGTAAACACTCACTGTTTATAAAAATAAAATGCTGTCAAAATGTAGTTGCCTTGCATCTTTTTTTTTTGGATTACCATTGAATAAGGTAGAATATCAGTGCTGGAACTGTTGCATTTCTTCTGATTTCTTGTGTAAAAATAAAATTCTGATTCTGCAGCTGTGTGATTCTAATAGAAGGGATTCCACTTCACAAACTGCTCTGGCTTGGATGGCTTTGCTCTCACTTTCGCTCATGTATTCAGTGCGGAAGCATGGATTGGACAGATTGCCAGACTGATCAGTTCCTCAATCACGTTGTCTGTCACATAATTGCTCTTCTGTAGTTCAGTACTGACTTCTTTATTGTCTTTGTGCGGTCTGTGTCATTCTCTTTTGCCTGTAGAATGTTCTTACCGAATAACTGAAGAACAGGCTTCACGCAGGGGATGGTGACATAGTCTTCAGAGAACACATCAGTGAATTCAAGGAGAGGACCTAGAACCTTTCTCAGAATCAAGAACCTCTACATTTTGCCATGTTGGCACCAGGTGTCTGCTTGATATGTCAGCAGCGAAGACCTGTGTGATGGCCTTTTCTTTTTCCAGCGACCACTGGATCATCTTTTGTCTTGATCCCCATCGAATGGGAGAGTCTGTGACCAGTTTGTTCTGAAATTAGCCCATTTCCACTTGAGCATCCTGTAGTGCCCGCTGCCACTTCCAGCTGTGAGCAAAGGAAGCCACAACTCCCACTGCTTTGTCAATCCTGGGGTCCTTCACACTCCTCTCTGAAGATAAAGCATGATAGTCACTTTCTCTCTCACACTCGCTCACACACACACACACACACACACACACACACCCTCTCTATCCCTTAGTAAGACCCATGACAATTGTTTTGGGACTGCCTGCTGTTATGAATAGCCATGGGGCTCGGGGATATAATAGAGAGGATAATGATTTTTGGGGGAAAGTGACAGCCATTTCTAATTTAAAAAAAATTGTTTTGTTTTCATGGTAAATGAAACTTACCAATAGCAATGCGTAGATGATGGCCAAAGCATGACAGTCTGGTCCAGATGTTGAGAGTGGCGGCTTCAACAATATTGACCCCGCTAATGTTGTCACACACACCCGTTTATCCTGTTGTAGATACCATGAGATAAGAAACTCCATTAAACCACTCGCAATATTTTCACTTTCACTTTGTGTGATCCTTAGGAAAGAAATTTGTCACAATGCCGGAGTACATTGTCCATTGTCGGAGTACATTGTCGATGTAGTGCACGGTCAGCAGTTTTGCTCAACCACATTTCTGTGGTTTAGGTAAAAACCTCCATCAACGATAGTGGAACAGCTAGTCATGGCATGCTTCATACATCGCAGGTAAGGATGTTTTTGAAAAATATTTTCTATCTGGGATGTTGGCCAAACTATATTTAACTACATCAATAATTTACATTCACCGTTTGCTTTTCCTGTCATGCGGAGTACAATTAATGAGTGCTCCAGCAATGCTAGGTTGAGTCATTTGTTGACTTCTGGGCTGCACATCACCAGCTGTTAGTATCTCCTCCTCTTGTGCCTTCAAAGCCTGGTTGTACTTGACTGTTCAAGTGGTGAAGCAAGTTTGTTGTGTTTCCACCTTTTTAGCGCTAACAATTTTCTTGCATATTTTGCAAAGAATTGTGCTTTGTTGGAGTTCTGACCTCTTGTAACCACACCACTTCCATACTATTGAAGTAGCTCCCTTTATAGGTACTAAATCATCATTGGCGGTTGATGCGCTGCTCTCGCTCTCAGACGTGTTTGGGGTTTTCGTATCAGTATTGGTCAGTCAGCCGTTGGCCGATGGTTAGAAATAAGTAAGGCTGCAGCTATCGATTATTTTAGTAATCGAGTATTCTGTCGATTATTCCATCAATTAATAGAGTAATCGGATAAGAAATACTTTTCTTATTAAAGAGCAATAGTAACTATTCAAAAAAGAAAAAATAGACACACAACAACTGACAAAAGAACTAAACCCTTTTAGTGCCTTCATGTACATTTGTTTTTTTATGTACATTTTTGCAGGTATCACTGCAATGAAGTGTGACGGCTGCTGTCAGCCTGCTGCAAAGTTGCGAATTTAAATATAATGTCAAACTATATAAGCTAACAGTTTATCTGCATACTAACAGCTTCTATTTAAACTTGTATAGCTTTACTGTAGCCTTGCTGCTGTGGAAGACAAACGGAAAAAGCTCTTTACCAGTAAAGGTTTAGTAGCAATTACAAGCACTGCCGTTGTTTTCCTTCACTCCACCTGAGTTCACCATCTCTGTAACGGAACCGTCTCTTTGCTCTTTGCTGTTAGTGTATAGACAGGCTCCAGCTCCATGTTAAACTACCACAGCATCATTTTCACTACTGTTGTATTATTAGTTTTTTTGTTGAGGAAAAATAGGGGCTGCTTGGGCTGAATCTTGTTATAATTTTTTATTCACAAATATGCTCATAAATACGTTTCTATTGCAGGTCTATTTTTAGCCGCAAATGTGAGTGAAACGCTCGCGCTTACCTTGTATTGGTTCCGCTCTGTGGACTGGATGCATAGACTGGGTGCTTTCTGTTGAGATGTTGAATCATTGACGTTGTGCTATTGTGGTAAGCTAATTCGGTTTTACAATGGACACACTGTACAGTATTTTCGCTTTTCTTTTGTTTGAAATGGTCCAAAACTTGACATTTTTCGTCTTTTTCTCTGACTTTCCTCGCTAGTTTCCCTGTCTTCCTCCATTGCGCCATCAAATCAAACCTGCTACACGTAATGCAGCGTAATCACACTATGCGACAGTAATAATCCTCCGAGTGAAACACAGTGATCACTAAGCGGTACATAGTTGTGCGGATTACACGAAGCATCGAAGCAAAGAATTTGCATCGAGGATTTTTTGTGATCGAGTTATTCAAGTTACTCGATGAATTGTTGCAGCCCTAAAAATAAACCAAAATGTATCACCGATAATTCCATTTAAAATGTTGACCCATATTGCTTTGCACATCCTGCAAACTAAACAGTTAGAAAAATGGCTGCTATGTGAAATGTTTAATATTGGCAAAACAACATTAGAAATGCATTTTGCAAACAATGCTTCCCTAAAATTTCTCAAGGAGGATCTATAGATGAACATTTCAACAGAACAAATTTGATTGCCCACTTTAAGATGAGACAGTGAAGACATTGAAGAGCTTCTGAAAAAACTAATTTGTTCCAGTAAAGAAGGCTGCAGTACAACCGAATAATGATAGTCGTTGGGTATTGCAGGCATTTTTCAGCGGCCAGGATTAAAAGAAAAGTCAAGGTCAAGGGAAAGTTGAATGGAGCAGAGATATCCTTAATGAAAGTCTGCTCCTGAATGTTTTGGACCTTAGACTGGGCTAAATATTATCTTCTGACAGGACAATGACCCTAAGCACAAAACAAAGACAATGACATGTCTTTGAATGTACTAGAGTGACCTAGCCAGAGCCCACTCTTGAACCCGAATGAACATCTATGGAGAAAACAACTAAAGTTAGCTGTCCACTGATAGTCCACGTCCAACCTGACAGAGCTTGAGAGGATCTGTAGAAATGAATGGCACAAAATCCCATAATCCGGTGTGCAAAGCTTGTTGACTCATACCCACAAAGACTCAAGGCTGTAATCACTGTAAAAGGTGCTTCAGTACAGTACTGAGTAAAAGGTCTGAATACTTATGTCGGTGTGATGTTGTGTTTATTTTTTTTAATAAATTTGCAAAAAATTCTAAAATCCTGATTTTTGCTTTGTTGTTATGGAGTATTGAGTGTAGATTGATGATTCTGGATGCACAGTATGTGTGAAGTTTGACATTCCAGACGTGGGTGTGGTGGCCGCTGTTACCCTTGGCAGCAACTCTGGCATCTAGTTACAACAAGTGCCAGATTATGACAATGGCAAAATGGACAATTGCCAAGGGTGGCATCTCCTGAGCGGACATGACTTGGCAAACATCTCCAACCCCCCCCACACACACACACAGATGCACAGATAAACCCCGATAACTAGTAATGGGTGCCTTTTTGTTGTAAGACTGCATTCTTGAGGTAATTGGGACTGGTGCTGCAAACACTCTTTGAGTTTTTTGAAAAAATTGAATATAAATAAGATTTAGGAAAAGCTCCAATGACTGGTAAATACTACATATGCACCATATATCAGTTAACAAAATATGACATTGTCAGTCTGATATTCAGACTTTGCCAATATTCAGTGTTAGCAGCACCAGAGTTAAAGACTTAACTGTTGAATACTATTGAACACAATGATTGTATTGCAATGTGATCCATTTCCTATAGTGGAAAATGAGGCATTTCATCAGCTCATTCGCCACTTAGAAGTCCAGTCAAAGTACCAGCCCAGAAAACTGTTTTATGTGGTTTGTGAGATGTTTTTAATTTATTATTAAATCTAGCCTGCAGATTCACCTTTTGTTTTCCCACTGCTGGCTCAAGTTATCCAATTATTGGGTTTGGAAGTGCTAGACAAAAACCTATTGGTCAAAATTTCCGCTTCAGTACATCACTTGTAAATTCTTGTAGCACTACAAAAGTCATTCAGCTCATATTCTGATTGCTGCATGGGGTCAGTACAACTCCTCTTGCAAGTAATACACGAGTGATTAAGCAAAAAAGATGGTGGGTATGAGTCAAGACAGTACTCAAGAGCATCTAAAAAGCTTTTCAAAAAGTCAGTCGAAGTTGTGCAAAAAAGACGAATGTTCAAGAGGAAAAATGTCATTTGAATATTTTAATATGAAAATTTTATAGTTGCAGCCCTACTTGGGAATAATTTTTTTAAAAAACCTTTTTCCCCCATACAGTAATGGAGATGTGTCGTTGCAAGACAAGAAAGGTAGGACTCAAATTTATATCACCTTTTTAAATTGTTAATCACACCACTAGATGTCATTGTTTCAACAGTTAATAATGTTATTGTATTCTCTCTTGGAAATGAATGCCATTTGTGTCAAGAACATATTACGTGATGTTTTCATTTTTATAATTTTTTTAATATATACATCAAATCTGATGACTGCAGCATGCTAATTTCAGTTTGTCACGACTTGTTCAGATTAGTCCTAAACTGCCTCATCTCACCTGTTTTGGAGTATGTTGCAGGCATTAATTTTAAAATAAACGTGTATCTTTGCAATTGTTTAGCTTAACGGTGATATGGTTAACTTTGTATATGTTCTTGTCAAATAAAATTATTTTTCTTAATAAAGGTAAGATTTGGTATTCCAAAAGTTTTCTTCCAATAATTAATTTAATATTCCTTGTACAGGTATTATACGTACTAAATGCACTGTTAATTTGAAATAGTATAGACAAAACACCTACAAGTTATCCAAGTTAAGCACTTTTCATATTCAAAGTTTTTCTCTCCTTGATTTCATATAGAAGAGACATGAACTAGGCCTAGTTAGCCATGCTGCCTTTTTTTCAGAATGGAGAGTTGTTACATGGAGTTCATTGTTTGATTAAAGGGTGATGTGTTTTTATTTTCTTCTTAAATATAACGGGACTGAAACCGTACCGTTACCGTGGTCTGAAAACCATGACATACCAAACCATGGGAAAATTGTACTGTTACACCGCTATATACCATTTATGTACCGTCTTTATACCATTTTGGTTTGAATACAAGTCAGTTTACAAATCACTCCTTACTTGTTTTTATTAGCAATTTCTGTTTTGTCCCTGATTTTTTTTGGAATTGGGAATGTAGGACTAGAGTGTGGATTCATGCAAATAATACTTGCCATCGATTATCTCAAACAAGATTCATGTCTTGTACTTCCAGCATGGAGTGAGTGGGCTTTCCATGAGTTAGAAGCTTTAGAAGTTCGGAAGAACCACAGAGCATTTTATCTTAATACGTTTTCGTGCTTCTCACAAAGCAGAGGCAATGAAATGCTTGGACTATGATGCAAATAATGCAATTCGTGGGCCATCACTGTGCATTTCAAAACACAGCTGTAGTAAAGAATGTCATGCTTGTGGTGGGGGGGGATATTTTTATTTATTATTATTATTATTATTATTATTATTATTATGAGTTGATTTTTTTTTTTTAATCAACTCATCACTACCCACAGTTTCAGAACCACTCACCACTCTTCTCACACAGAAGCATGTTGTAATTACTATGTACAAGTTGGACACTTAGTATAGGGTTGTGACGTTGTTCTACATATTTTTTAATTTGCAAATTCTTTCTCCCTTGCAATTCTGTCAATTACTGTTTTTTTCCCCCAACTTGCCACAAAAAAGCAAATGTAAAAGGTTTTCTGATATTTGAGGATTTTTCTGGATGTTTGTATTAGCAGTTTAGTTTAATGGAAACCATCACTATTGATTGTGTTGTAGTGGGGAAACCGAGAATTATAGCAGTTTTCAGCTCTCGGTGTTGGTGAACATTTTCACACTGTTCTCTAATAAACTACTGAAAATTGCCTTGGTCTAATTTTAGATGTCAGTGTTGTTACCATGACTACTGTATTTGCATTGTTACTTAGTGGGTAACTCCTCAGTACTGCGGAGCTTGACTGGCTGAATCTAGTAATATTTTTTTTCTCCCCACCTTTTATTGAATAGCAGATGCTTTGACTGCAAATGAAACCAATGCCTCAGGTATGTAATGTCATATTGCATGTAGGGAACACCAGTAAGGGTATAAATCCTTGGTTCAAGGTGATTCGATTCAATTTCTGATGCATATCGTTTCCTAAATAATCACAGTCTTTCATTTTGATCACAATTCTATTTGATTTTTTATAGGAATGGGCCGATACATATTTTTTCAAATTCCGATCTGATTCCGATACACCACTGCTGATACAGATTTCGATACGAGCTCTTTTTGCTTTAATATATATATATATATAGTTTATTTTTAAAACTAGTAAATACAAATGAAAAAATGCATGCTAAAAATCTTTAATCAGGCTACTAAAAAACATACATGATGTACTGTACTGTTCCACCTTGTTCATACATCTTGTTTTAAGCGTTTTTGAGGCATTTGCAGTTCAATTTGAACGTTTTCCAAGATGCTTAAAATGCCCCACGATTTTTCTTCCACTTCATTGCGATTGCAGCCCCTCTTGCATCACAAGATGCAGCGAGTGAGCAAAACAGCCCAAGTTAGTGAATCCCAAATCATCCATTGCCTTTTTCATATTTCTCGCATTGTCTTACACAGTTGTGTAGATAGCATTTTACTTGATGGGACACTTTGTAATAGCTCAGTTACGACTGAAGTACAAATTATGAACAAATGATGAATGAATACAGTCAACAATTCATTAATGATGAACGAACATAAGATCACTATTTCACTTTGTTATTCGCAGCGGTCAAAGTTTAGCAAAGTTCAACTCTGACCGTGATGTGTGCACAAGCTTGTCAAGCAACGCGCTGCCCTGCACTTGTGATTTGTTCGGCGCCGTGCAAAACTGTTCTTGCACTGTGCAAGCCATAGAAAATAATGGGTTTCAGAGTGCAGCGCATGCCACGTTTGGTTTGAGAGTCAGTTTAAGCTCTACATACTACAAAGGGTAGGCACAAGACGTCACAACAGGCGGAAGTCACTGCATGCACTCATACTCACTGAGTGGCAAAAAAACGGCGTTGCATCCTGGAAGACAAAGTGGCAGCATTAGCGTTTAGGTTAAATGCTGCAAAAACACATCTAAAATGGGAGAGAGCTGTCGTGTACAAATCGATCTATCAAGAAATAGGATTCGCCTTTTTACAGACTACCAAATCGGATGTGGATCGGTCATATATGGCCGATACCTGATCCGTCAAATATGTATGGATTGGTGCCGATACCGATACGATATGCACCTCTAATTACAGAACTGGGGGGTTGCAGTTCCCTGGCTTGGGGCCTTTTAAAGTGTCTTTCAAAGTGTCTAGTTGTTCTACCTTCAGTTGTCTGGTTCTCATTAGTGTGTCCACCGATTCTCTTTCAACAGACAGTACGGAAGATAGCTCAGAGGAAGAGGACTCAGGTTAGGACTTTGGAATTGGGTTAATTAAATCTTTCTGTTTGTCTGAAAGGTGTATAATTTGTGTCTGTTGTCATTTTTCTTTCAGCAAATGAGAGCTCCACTGAGAACAACGACACTGAAAGTAAAATCAAAACGTCGGCCTTGTTGCTATTGGTGGCTCATAATGACAGTTTGTCCTTTGGTTAAAATGCTGCTCAAAGATGCTTATAGATGTGATTTAGGAAGGCATATCTGATTGCTTGTAAGTCATGCTTCTGATAATTTGATTTTCCTCCTTCTGTCCCACTCATGAAAAGATGAATCTGAACCTTCAAGGTCCAGTCACGGTAAGAACAGACTCTATTCTGAAACGCCATAAAAATGGTGTTGCTTTTTTCCCTGTCTTCCCCTTGAAGCTGAAAGGAATGATTGCTGCAGTGTAGCTGCTTTGGGTCCTGTGTGTCATGCTATGTTTCATGATTTTTGTTTTACAGAACCAGATCCACCTCCTAAACCAGAAACAGAAAAGCATGGTGGGGGAGGTATGTTTCAGGGATTCTTTTTTTTTTTTTTTAATCCAAAACCAACAGGTCCAAATGACAGAAATGTTCTGGCCAAGGTGGAAACAGGGGTATTGCTGAATAAGTGCTGCCACACTTAACTTGGGGTCATATTATTCCAGTTTGGTCCTCCATACTAAGTTGTCTTCTCTCTCTTCAGATGCCTTACCCAAGACCAGCTGTTCTAAATGTGAAGCCATTCGGGTGGGTCTCAGGCGACCAACATTTGCTTACTGATTATTATTATTATTATTATTATTATTATTATTATTATTATTATTATTATTATTACTACTGACACTGCCTACATCAATTTCAGTTCTTTACTCACTGTGCTGATATGTTTTCTTAAGTTCATTTGCTTCAGAATTGTTAAGACAGTGGAATTTAACCATGGGAATAATTCTGTAGTTAATATTTGCAATATTTACTTCAGCAGAATGAAGGCTACAATTCTGTAACTCCAAGAAATATCTCTCGGGGACGTTATCTGTAAGTTGTCATTGTGTCCGTTGTAAATGTAACCTGTATCTCTTTGGTAATCAGACAGGAGTTCTTAGTGCTTTCTGTCCATTGTAGGGATTACGACTGTTTCCTTTTGCCAGGTTGCTCTTGGAGGATGAGGGCACTTACCAGTGTTCTATCACTGGGCTGGCGTTTGAAGTCTCTCAGAAGGTGCAAATCAAGTATTCAATCTTGTCTTGGACCAAGTACGCGATGTGTCTCAAAGATTCTTGGAAGCTTGCTGGGCCTATCTTTGATGTGGACTGTGATCCGTCCATCCTAAAATCCATCCACTTCCCTCATTCCCTTTGTTTGGCTGGTAAGGACAGAATCATATCTCTGGTGCCATAAACTGTCAAACTATCACCTGTCACATTGTGACAGCAGCTTGTGAAAGAACAAGGCTTAATTGCATTATTCCCAGCATCGTTGACTTGTCTAAAGGGTCCTGAAAAGAACTATCATTGGATTGTTAGACTCTTAATTACATTTGTATTTTTGTGTTGAAAGTCTGTTAAAATTAGAGGTGGAATGTTCAGAACCAGAAAATACAGATTAACAGTCACAGAGTACTCAACTGGCTAGTTGGAACAAAATCTTGGTCTGGATCTGTACTTTATGAACCTGCGCTTTCCACCTCTGGTTAAAGTGCACATTTCCATCTGAGATTCATGCATTAATTTAGACACCCATATGCTCATACATGGCACCAGGCAGGGCTGGATTCCGTTCTGATTTAAAGACGTGTCATGGGCCGGGGTATCACAAACTTTCTACATCACGTACTACCTCAGAGAGTATGCTGGGTATGAGCTTCTGTTAATTTCATTGCACAAGGGTTTTCCGTGAAATTCTTACATACCACTGGAATTTTGTCTGATTCCCTCGATAATGTTATCACTGGTATGTCATTACGTGGTATTAGTTATAGGCATCGAACCCAGTACTGTACTAGTACCGGTATGAGTGCATCCCTATATTAATGGATACTACAGCCATGAGTGTTTCTGTATCTGTATGTTTTATGGTATGTTGTGATGTTTCCTTTGTATGTAAAAAGTTTAAAATACCAGGAATATTTGAAAAACTGCAATCTATGTTTAGTAGCTAATTTAGGTGGCCTAACCTGCAAAGATGGGCAGTGATGCCCGAGCGGTTTGAGTAGTAAATGTCAGATTGTATAGCTGTTCTGTAGCAGGATGGGTTCCTGCATTTTTCAAGTCAGCTGCATATGTGTTTGTTGCATTGAATGCGTTTCATTCTGAATGTGGCCTCATTGATTCATGTGTACAGATATGAACTGCATTACTGTGTTTCGGCTTCTTTTTTTTTTAAGACCCGACAAGTGAGCTGACCTTTGGCATCTTGCATGTAAAGAATCAGCGTTCCCTCATCGAGCCGCCAACTGACCACACTGGGAGCCACATTAAGTGGACAGTGACGTCTCTCTCCCCCGTGGGCACCGTCGTACAGACATCCCAGCCGACTGAACACCACGGAGTGGTCCTGGTGTACAAGGAGCTGGCCAAGCGCCCTTCTTCCTCCTTCCGCATTTACCTGGCTACCAACAACCAGTCTGATATAAATGTAGGTTGCTGCTTGTCTCAGAATTGCAGTTGGGGGGAGGGCGGAGGCAGTGAGCATCCTTGATAAGCCCTTAACTGCATAGCTGTTAATTATGCTGTTGTATGACCTGAAGTGTTCACTAGTAGTGGGATGAATTGTGCTTTGAACCTCATTGTGGATGGTCAGAAATGGGTAAAAGTACCAATTAATGTAAGTTATTAATGGCTATTTTAAAAGTTCATTTTTATTTCTTTCAGGACATCAAGAAAGTGGTGCAGAGGTCGAATAAAAAGTATGTGAAAATCGAGAAGCCCCCCACATGTCAGAGGCTGCTGCAGGAGGGGAAGACCTATCGGCTAACAAGCGAGCCGGAGGCCGAGATTGGTCCCAAGGCAGGATATGAAATGATTGCAGGGGACTTTAATCGCATGACGCCAAGCCTAGCCGTTGATCTTGTGTGTGTGTGTGTATATATTTCTCTCATGCAGGAGCTGCAGTTCTCGCAGGAGGTGGTCATGTTGAAGGGCTATTTTGAGGTGTTTTTTGAGCAGTCGCCGCCCTTCGAGCTGTCGCTCATTGAGGTGGACTCTGAACAAACGGTGTGGACTGCCAAGCTCCGAGAGGGTGGGTCCCGCTTCCAGCCTTCACTCTTCTCGGGTGTACGCCCTGTCGGTGTGTGCAGTTTGTTTATTCCTGCTTTCTCTCATAGGTGACTGTGAGGACAATGCAACTGAAAAACCACGGAAAAGTAGTCAAAGTGATTATTTATTTATTTTTATTTATTTATTTATTTATTTATTTAGTCAGTCAAGTGCCCAAATAACTGGCAGCTATGTAAAAACAAAATTATACTGAATTTGAAGAAGGATGTCAGATCTTGGCTACCTGCTTTCCCCCACTGTGTCCTATATGGTGTGTGTGTGTCCTGTAGGACGGAAGAGAAGTATGAGTACTTCAGATGAAGACCTACCCAACAAAAGGTCAAAGTGGAAAGACGTGGCCGGTAATCCAGGCTTTTAATAATGCGGCTTGGCCGCATAGATAGTACATTTCAAAGGTTGGCTGATTTGCTTGTGTATTTGCATTGTAAATGGTTCACTTTATGGTGTGTGTTTATGAGGGGGGCTTTTTCATGGAATTGTCCCATATAGGTACCTTTTGAAATCATTCTATTACAGATGGTTGAATGTTGTGATGTTATGTCCGCCATTGGTTTCGGCCTGACTAAGACTTGCTGAACCACAGATGGATTCCAGACGGTGAAGCCTGACGTCACAGATCAGCAGCTGATGATGGTGGCCAAGAAGATGGGCAAGGAGTGGCAGCAGGTGGCTATCCTCTATCTGGGCCTGAACTTACAGGACCTCGAAAAGCTGCCGGATGAGGACCTCACCATGCGCAAGTTCAAGATGCTGGATCTGTGGCGGCGGAAGGTCAAAGGTGGAGCCAGCGCCTCACTGCTGCATGAGGCCCTCAATAAAGAGGACGTGCCCAATGAGGTTCGGGACGTCCTTGAAGGTAGGTATGCCACCTGTCTGTCTCTGGGTTTGCTGGCACAGATAGTAACTAGTGTTGTCAAAAGAATTGAATGTACCAAAAGTATCAATTCTGTCATGTATGAAACTGTTTCAATACTGATTTTTTTTCAATATATTCTATAGCCCGCACTCCCCATTCGCTTTAACCACTGAGGTTCATAGACTACCAATGCACTTGCCCATACCTGAGTGCAGTCTCACATGGGGGTGATATTAAGGTGACTAGATTAGAAGCATCACAGCTTTCATTATTGTGCTTAATAGATAAAGAGTGTAGCTGGAGTAGCGTCTGGAAATACTGTAGCTTTGTGCTAATTGAAGATGGTAGACCACAGGACATATACAAGCTGGGCCTTATTATGTTTTACCATATAAGTATCTTATTTCTGAGTTATTAACATATTAAGCTGTATGACCCTGTTGCAGATGAAGTAGAGATGTGACCTGCATTTTTTCTGTGGGTTAAAACATTTTTTTGTAGTCAGTTAAATATTTCCACATGAAGACAGTGGTCTGTAATTATTTTTACCTATGGGTCGTGTTCAGATCCATGCGATCTCCTGAGGTAGTGTTGATTAGTGTTGATCATTTGGATACAAACTTCTATGCTTTCTATTATCCATTATAATATAAAATAACATCTAATTGTTAATAGTGTTCAGTGCTTCCGAATCTCTGAAAACAATTACAGCACAATTGCAATGGCTACTACTGTACTTAATAGCATTATGGTTTGACTGACAATGTAATGTGAAGGTTTTACTGGATATAATGACATGAGTTTGCAGAAGGTTGTGATGTTTTTACTGCAAACAAAATTGCAATTGAAATAATTAGTATATATTGCAACTCAGTACAATGTTGAGTGTCAAAAATCGTAATGAATTTTAAATATTTTTCTTGGTATCCATTTTGAAATTTGACATTTTGTTATCGTGACAACATTAACAGAAATAGCATCTCTAAATGGACCACGTGAGTATGACTAGCATTGTAGCGGTACCATGGCTGGTTTACGGTACATGATGTAACCACATGTTTTCCTGTCCCGCCACAGAAATAATTGCATCATGATGCCTCAAGAATGAGTTCACAGTGAAACCAGAAGCACTTCTCAAATATTCCGTCTTGGGAAACATGGGACGGGTAATCTAAAGGAATCGATCATTCGTCAGAGTAGTTTGGGTAACACACTGTGGGCCCGGGACATGTGGATGCAGTGGCTGTCCTCCTCCACTGATTCATCTTGGATTTCTTCTTTTTGGGGGTGGGAGGGTGGCAAGTGAAATGTGACATTTTGTGGATGCTTAAACTGTGAAGTATACTTCAGGAATCCAGTGAATGATTCTGTAGTTTACAAACTGACTGGCCAGTTGTGCATGCCTGTTTATGTGCCCTGTCACCTTACTCTGAATACAGAATGACTGACTGAAAAAGCCAAAACAGGAGGCTCACACATGCTTCAGTAGAAATTTTGTTTTATGTGCTGTAACTTGCTTCTCTGTTTGGCAGGTTTTACCAGATATACATTATGTATGGTTTTAGTCGCTAAAATATGATTTTGTAGAATAGCATATCACTTGTACATTCCTTAGTTTGGACCTTCTTCGTCGTTGCCGATGTGCTGATGGCACAAATCCATGCTCTGAGCTGCTGCCTGTCAGTGGCTTTTTGTGAAGTAGCAGGAACTTGATGGTAACAAAGAACTTCTGGACTTTTTCAAGCCAAAATTTCAAGAAAAAAATATTCTTTTGTTGCGATTTATTATTTCCTATAGAAATGATACCAAACACCTTGCCACCTTGCACTATTTAAAGACTAAATTGTCTCATATACAGATGCATTCCAAATATGGTGAGTTGTACTGTAAAATAAGCTTTTTTAATTTTGTGTAAGGCTCACATTTTGCAGTCTGGGATGTCTTGATTGAAATAAACAACCTGAGGTTGACACAACTTCTCCATTTGTTTTGCAGGTTGCTTTATATAATTTTTGTTCCTAAACGTTATAAACATTTGTAAACTGAAATGGTTATAAATAGTTTAGACTTAATGTCTTTCAAATTCTTCAGAGTGAGGTCCCTCCTTGCTTCTCGCTGAAAATGCCAGACACTGGTCCTTAAGTCTGTCCTTTATGAAATATCCTACCTTATTTCACAGCCAAAGATGTTTAAAAAAAATTTCACAATTCTTTGTTTGCTTTTTCTGCTGTCTCGGGCACTGAAGTCCTTTGTCCTGGTCACTTTTTTACAGCTTGATGGAAAATTCCCTGTTTCATCCAAATACTGTCAATATTGTATTAGATTGATTCATCTTTCTGAGACTGTGGGACCAGTCTCCTATTAGTCCATTACTTGCTTTGCACAATAATAGGAAAGCACATCATTTACACAGCTTAAGTTTAGCACAGGGGTGTCAGACTCCAGTCCTGGAGGGCCAGAGCCCTGCACATTTTTTGGTTTCCCCTCATTTAACACGTCTGATTCAACTACTTGTGCTAATTACCACACATCTCTTGAGCTGATTTCATTTGTGGTGGAACAGGGAAAGAGCTAAGCTACACAGGGCTCCGGGCTCCCAGGACTGCAGTTTGACACCCCTGGTTTAGCAAATGATGTCTAGCTGCTACTTGGGGTCATTCTGCCTGCCTTACTCTCCTCTTGTGTCCATATTCTCGGTCGATTACATAGTTGGTAAAAACCAGTTCAGCCCTTTTGTTAGCAGTACTAGGTTGACATATTGGTGTTTCTAAACCTGCTGCTGTCTGAGCATGACTTCTTGGTTTGTGTATATTTGCAGAGGTGGGGATGACTTGTTAATCGCTAATATGAATGTATGTATTTTCATATATTTTGCTCAATGTACATGCACATGTTTCCCATCCCTGGGTTTTCAGAAACTACATTTTTTCCCCACACTTTTTGTGCCAGAAACTCTTAATCATGGAAAGGATGTTCAAATGTAAACCTGAGGCAACATCATCAAAAATCAGTTGTTTGGAGTCACACCTCTGGGACCAGGGTTCAAACCTGTGCCGTGGCTCCATGTGTTGCATGGAGCCAGTTTGCATGTTCTCCCCTGTGTGAGTGGTGCTTATGTCTGTGCCCTGTGATGCGTTGGCACCCCATCCTGGGTTGTTCATTGCCTTGTGCCTATAGCTTCCAGGATAGGCTCCAGACCCCCCTTGAGCCTGAATAGGTCAAACGGTTTTAGAAGATGGATGGGTGTTGTTGACTAACTGCATTATGGTTTATGAACTCCTGCATTTTCTTTGCTCTTAAAACATACTTAAGATGGAATGCTTCTTTCTAAATTCTGTTAATGAGCACAGGACAGTTTCTTGGTTTAATTTTCTTGTACTTTTAATATTCAAATTCACACACCTTTAACAAATGATGCGTGATGCTTGACCAGAAAAGTCACCCTCTCACATTTGTGGGATGTTTGTCACATTAAATAGCTGCCCTGAGAATGTTCTAGAAAGGGGGGTTAACTTGCAGAATTTCAAGTCCTAGGAAGTCATAGCGATAGAACCGTCTGAATAATAAATAAATAAATACATGGTCATCATATCCCTGCCGCTTGTATATTAGCAATTTCCTAAAGATCATAATTTGTGCAATAAATAAATAAATAAACTTTTCTGCAAAGAAAGTTAACTATCATGACAACTTTCAAAATGTTCAATTTTTGCTAGCTTATTTGTGGTTTTAGAGAAACACGTCAGCTGGTTTTATAAATGACATTCTGTAAAAGGAAGATCTGATCAGGTGTAATTACTGGAGTTAGTGTAGGTTGCACACATGGACATAAATGGTGTAAAAGCCATCTGCTGAAGAGGGTGGGGATGCAGGTCATTTTAGGTGGTCTCCAGCAGCGACGTAGCTGATGACGCGGTTGAGCGTGATGGCCCGCACGTGGAAGCCTCGCAGCACTTTACATAGGTGCACACGGTCTTCAAAAGAGGGTGCCTGGGCAGCCTAATTATGTAAAATGGCATTATTAATTGAAAATCAGTGTATTTTTAATTTGGGTAATATTTTTACTTGACAGGGCACAATTGATATAGTATTATACTATTACTAATGTATTAACCACAAACTAAGTCTTGGTTACAGACTGATCTCTAGTTAATTCATCATTAATGAATCATGATGTATGTTTTATCAAGCAATTACTAAATTTATATTTAATTCTGTAAACCATTATGAGCTATGGGTTGAACAAGTAAGGAATAACAAGTGAGATACTGATCTCATGTTTGCTCATAATGAATCATGACATCTTTTAGCTACTGTTTTTTCATGGTTTCTACTTCAGTAGTAACTGAGTTATAACTAACAACTGACCTTTGATGAAGCAGGGTTCTCTAGGACATGAGGAAAGGCACAGTTCTGCAAAAGAGGACATTAAAGTAAACAGACCTTCTTAAAAACGTTTACGCTGTATATTGTCGTGGCTCCCGTGGAATAGACCACTGTGTGCCACGTGCAAATTCCCGCTATATCAAGAAAGGGAAATCCTAACTCTTGGAAATTTATTCATGAAAGAATGGTAAAATGTAACAGAAATTTTAAAAATAACCATGCACAATGTAAACCATGTATGACTTTTCCTAAATTGCGCAGTTTTCCAGCCTTCGGCTGGCTGTGTACGCTAACGTGGCACCCCGTATTCGAACCTTAACTAGGTCCTCTATGGCTCCCATCAACGTGGCTCTCAAGCGATCATTCTGAATCTTCGGCAGCATGTTTTTATAATACTGCAGATCCTCCCTTATGGCCCTGAAGCAGGCGTCCTGAGAACACGAATGTAAGAGGTGAGGCACCAAGCTTAACAACAGACATAGACTCCACTGCACATAATTCCTCAAAAACGCGTAACGCATCCGGACACGTACCTCGTTAAACCCGCTTGTTTGACGGTTTGCGCATGATGAATTCTGCAAGGAAGCGTAGACTGAATGGTTACAATGTGTTCATTTTAACGTGTAAATGAAATTCGTATTCGTTTGTAAGAGATAATGAAAGCGGATTGTCATTTCATTGTAGCACTTGACGGGGCACAAATGTAGTATATTATGGTATTATGTATGAATTAACAAAAAAAAAAAGTTTTAGCTACATACTGATCTCATGTTAATTCATCATTAATGAATCGTGACATGTTTTATCTCAAGCAGTTACTATATTTGTTACTGTCAATTCTGTGAACATTTCTAAACTACTGAAAGAATATCATAAGCTAGGTGAAATAGTGATCTCATGTTTGTTGATCATTAATGAATCGTGACACATCTTTTATCTCAAGTAGCAAGTATATTCTTGTGATTTATATTTCACTATTAACGGAAATACTAATATTTGTGATCCGTCAAGTAAATGCTGCCTATTTCATTACACTTGGGTACCTACTTTTGGTTCGCAAACGGAGAGGTTCCGATTGTTCATCTCCACACTCAGTTTGGAGCAGTAAAATCCCAACTCCTCCTGCGTTAGGTCAACATTTAAAACACGTTTTAAGAACTGCAGAGCAGATAGTCTATCTGGAAGCTTAGAAACTCATTGCATCGTGTAGTAGTATATTTAATGATAATTGTAGCACAGATAGAAATACTTACGACCGCAGCAGTTATATTCCGCAGCAACGCCGTTGAATAGGTTAGACAGTCGTCGCTGTGCCGCAGCGGGTTTCCGAAGCCGGATCGACAGAGGTGTGAAGAGACGGCGACCAGCACCAACCACGAGGTGATGCCTGCAAACAGGAGTTAAACGCAGGACAGCGTGTAAGCCCTTTACACTATACTGTATTTGACCTCTTTTTTTTGTCACGGACAATAGTTATCCATTTAGGACTGCTTGGCTGAGCTAATAACTCACAAATGACCAGTTGCCATTTCTTTACTTTGTCATTACAAATATGATAGCTTCATCAGTAAAATGTTTTAAATTGTCGAAAGCAATGACATGCCGGCAATTTCGTATTCAATGCAAATCAGATATCAGTAGTTTTTCATAGCTTGCCATCCCGTCCTATGAAATACTCACGAAAGTTGGCGTATGACAGCATGCTTTCATCTAATTATCCCGATTGCAGAAAGACATGGACCTCATTTCTGCGACCCACGTTACTTATAGGCCTGTCGCAGCAGGGAATTTCCTTGAATAACGTCAAGGGAAAGGCGTAATGTTTGACTTGGGCAAATCTTTTGATGAAGAAGAAGAGGAAGAAAAAAAGCAAACCGTAAGTGTGTGCCACTGATATAAGTCCCTTGTATTGTACCACCGATTAGAAAATGAAGCTGGAAATAACGGGTACATTTCGTTTCACTGTTAGACTGTTTGAAATTAATCATTTGGGAAAAGAGTTAATACAGAATAACGACAAACGACTTTTCTGGTTGATGTTTGAAAATGTGAGCATCGTTCGCTGAATAGTAGCCAAGTTAATTTGCTATACACTTGTTTGCATTATTTGTGCGTGGGGCTCTTCTTCGACAATCACAATGTAATCAGGTTGCGTTGAAACACGCGATTAATCACAAGAATAATCTCCCGTCTTTCAACATATTAGCATTGTACTCGAATAACCAGTTACCTCTTGAGCAACAGTAAGGGTTAAACTATTAAAGCCCATTTTTCCCTGCACGTTGGCATGCCTAGGATAAGGAATGGAAATTTCTTAAATCCACGTATTATGCCCACCCCCCCGCAACCGCACTGTTTCAAGGATAAAGGGTAAACCTGTGGTTAAATCATTATAGCGATACATTTACACACAAATAAGGTTATAAAATATATAATGTAGTGTCCCACTTCTGTCCTTGCATAACTATTCATTCTACTACTATTTAACAGTTTAATGTAAAGTGTAAACTGATACATGTTTATATGTTTTTATCAATGTGTTTGTATATCTGACTTATTTTAGGAGGAAGAAAAATTAATTGACTTCTGTTACTAAAAACCTAACCTTTTTATCTAAGAACACTCTTGTGCTTTTGGGAAGTCCTTGATGCGATGACAGATGATCTTGAACCGAAAAAACACCACTGACTTATGATGCTGGTATTGTGAAATTTCAATTCAGAACTTTAATTTCTATTGTGATTAGTAGTTACATTGATTTATCTAGATAAGTGTCATGTAATTGAGGTAGAACAAAACAGGGCATTATTTAACATGATTTTATTAACATGCCACTATTTGAAAGATGGAATTAGACACAGCCAAAAAAGATGTGACTTGTAGTTTCTGATTCTGATCACTTTTGTGACTCGTAGCAGAATCATGTCATTACAGCTGATGGCAGAGATATCTTACCACCAATTGAAGAAATATATAGAGTTTGTGGTTTGGATGTGTAGTTCATCAGTAGACTGATGTAAAGTTAATTTATAACACGTAGAGTTAATGTCTCGTAATGCCAGGCACACTCAATTCTCCATGTTTGGTTAGATGGACAAAGCATGTTATATGAAAATGCCATCATTTTAACTGGACAACAAACCCTTGCATATGAAACAAAGTTTTTATTTTTTATTTTACATATCTGTACATTTTTTTTTTCAAATAAGATTTTGAATACAATTGGATGAAAATGATATTGACACATTTTGAAATGAATTGTGTCAGAAAAATCAACATTCACAAAATGTTGAAGACCGATTAGAGTGAACATATTAACAAAAGCTACAACTTGACTACAAGGCAGGTGTGTACCATCTGGACTCCATTAGCACCTTCAAATTAACTTCTCAGTTGAAAACTATTTGTGCAGAATAGAGGCCAACTTGAAAATACTGTCCAACATAAATTTCTGATGTCAGATTTGTATACTTTCCTCCCATTTCCTATCTTACTATTGTTGTCCACCAATTTGTGTAAGTATATGTACATATACATACACATTTTGACATATTGACAAGTATAATTTAGTGGCAAAGGTAAAAGGTTAAAAAGAAATGATAGAGAAGCAAGACCAATCCACTGCACAGAAAGCTTCGGACAGTATTTAGGACTAACACTTAGTTTGTTTTCTTCTCCCAAGAAGTGTTCCTTCTTCAGCAAGTTTACAACCACGAAAGCAAATGAAGACACGGCCTTGTTCTGAGCTGGGCGTCTGGGGTGCTGAGGGCTGGGAATGGGGCAGGGATTCAGCAGGAAGCATCTCATTTGGATGGGGTCTTCTCAGCCATGTGCTTCTGCTGACTCTCGGCATGCCTACAACAGGCATGTGCAGAATATGGATGGATGAAATGCCATTTTAAATGTATACAGAAATAACAGAGTAATAATGCTTAGAAGATGCTAAAAAACACAAGTAACCAGAACCCTGTAATTAATATTTCCTCAAAAAAAAACGAGGAAAAAAAAAAACAAACTGGATAGTGGACCAGCTGGCAGATGCTCCTCACCTAGTCAGGTCCTCAATGTCCACCAGCATGGCGTCCTGCTCCATGTGGAGTTCATCTCGAATCAGCAGCAGCTGAACTAGCTCTTCATTCAAACCTGTAGCAAAAGCCCGAAAACAGTATTTTTATGTTTCATTATAATCATCAACCACCCACCCACCCATATTCTGCACCTGCTTGCAAGGTCGGGGGTTCTAGAGCCTATCCTGGATGTCGCAGGAGCAACACAGGGAACAACCCAGGATGGGGCACCAATCATTTTTATTTATTTTTTTTCCCTGTTTCATGCACCATTTTGTATGATCAGTGTAGTAATACATTGCCAGACTCTTGCTAAGTGCCCTGAGGTGACTGTTGTGAATGGTGCTATATAAAAATAAACTGAATTGAATCATTCTTAGTAGTTATTAGAGGATGGCATGGTGGTCTCACGCCTTAGTGGTCATGGTTTGCTGAATCTACATCAGATCCCTGATCTTGTGCAGTCCAAAAACAGCTGATTTAGGGGTCTTGACACTGCCAATAGCATAGCTGTCAGTATGTGACCTGCATGCACTGGTATCCCAACCAAGGTGTCCCCCGCTTCAGGACCTACTTATACTGGGCCAGGCTCCAGGCTCAGTGCGACCCTTAGTAGATAATCCATTCATCTTATGTAACCGTTTATTATTCCTCTTATGGTTATATTAGCATATTACCACCGTATCATGCTGATGAAGGCACCAGTTTTATCAGAGACTAGATTTATGAGAAACTGTGACACTTCTCTGTCCTTTCGATTCCTTGGCTCCTGTGAGCTGTGACCATTCAAAACATACCTTATACTGAGTTCATCTTTGAATTTTCTCAACAAGTACAGTTTCAGAAATTCATTTGACACGTCTGTCTATAAAGTGTTCAGAGAGCAATCACCTCATCTGCACTTACATTAGTTTGTGTATTGTTTACTTCAGCTGCATGATGACGTGTTAGCAGTGCTGCCCCAACCTTGGAAGTATCTAATGCTTCCTCTTACTCACTGCTTGTTGAGGCTTCACGTATATAACGGATATACTGCACCATTCAGACATTGACATACACACACCACAAACGCAGTGAGGCTCTTTCCCAACATCAGCCTGCCAAAATGGTCACATGGTGCGCGACTCCTATTTCTCCAATGTATAGTGCAAGAGGCTGACTCGCTGCTCTGAATCTGCCAGAGACGTGCATCTGATCCACGATCACTGCTCACATGCACAGCAAGTGGTGGCTTGATGGTTAGGGTAGCGCACTTGTAATTGAAAGATTGCAGGCTTGAATCCCCCACCAGCAAGTCACCACTGAGGTACCCTGAGCAAGGTACCGGGCGCTGAATTAGCTGCCCCCTGCTATGTCACAAAAGTCACATATGGGTCAAATGCAGAGGTCACATTTCGTTGTTGCGCACTGTGTGCTGTGGTGTGTTGATAATGACCACTGATCACTAAATTCTAAAAAAAAAAAAAAAGTACGGATGTCTCTGTGCTGCATGTATGGCTCCCCTTCGCACCAGTACGTACTGTACACTTACTCTCTATCTGGGAGTGCAGGTCATTGACGATGACTTGAAGCTGCCCCAGGGTCATGTCCCTCAGGTCCGTGGGCTTTAGGCTCCGTTTCATTAGACATTCGCTGATGTGGGGCATGTGGGGGAGCTGGAGGAAAGCAGGAAGGGCAGATTGGCGCACATCTAGGCATTGGCCAAGTCATAACCCACAAGTATTGTACCAAACGTATGGTACCGGGTACGGTGGAAAAGTGCCCTTACACACACACTCTTTACAAGCAGACACTTTTACCCAGCAGGATTTCCATCCCATTTTACAGCTTGATAACTGAAACCAAATAAGGTAAGTATCTGCAACGATGCAGTGACATGTGCTCTGTAAATATCCCAGTTTATTTTTTTGACCTTTGTTTTTGACGTTCGGGCAGGTCCGGGTAAATGCGTCGAGCATGCTGAGGCTGAACACTTGTCTTTACAATGACTTCATTCTTTCCGAACAAATTCAAGCGGCTATCGGCATCCATTATGTCACCAGGGGTCAGACTTGAGTCATGCTTACGGTCTTTTGACGTAATACTGTCAGGCTGATGACTGCAGCTGTGGAGCTTAAGATAATCTTATATATGCCAGTGAGCTGATGTACTCCCAGGCAGCCTGCCAGTGAGGAGACTGCCTCCATTCAAGCTTAGACAATCGGTACTGGCTTTGCACTGTTACAGGACTTGGACTGGGCCAGTGTTATACAGCTATACTCTTGACAGAAATGCTCATCGTAGCCAGTTCTACTTACGTGCAGAAATTTACTTTATCTGCTATAATTCATCCAGTTCTTTTGTATTGAAGTGTAGCATTAATAATTTGGGCCATTATACTTTTTTATTACGATACCAACAAGTGTTTTGTCATACCTCAATTACTCTCTCTGTTTTCAGTTTCATTCCTTCTGTCACAGTCTCGGTTTCTCTCACTCACTGGCCACGCCCACATCTTGTTTCCTGAACATGTGGCTTTAACCACAATGACAGGCCTCGAGGGACAGGATGGGATTTCTCAAAGTCTTTAAAACTGGATTTCACCCTAATAAACAAGCGGTGTTTGTTAGGTGACCAGCACAGGTGTTTGACTCTTATGTTTATGGCCATTGCTGCTTTTCACTTTTGCTTTGCAGAGACACGCCAGTAGCATTTGGTGCTTCCTGTTCTGTGTGATGGAGGCGTGACTCGTCTATGGTTAGTTCGCTTCTCATTTCACATGCAGTGTTTTCCCTGTTGTCTCCTTCGAGCCCCTCAGCTCTGATTCGGCCTTCCTGATAAAGACCTTCCTCATTTTGGTTTTCATGTGGAACTCTCGGGTTTTCTGCCTGCTACGCCAGGTTTTGGTCACTGCTACATGCATAAAAAAAAAAAAAAAAAACATTTCTCATAACATTACATTATGACATAAGATGTGTTTTTCTTTTCTAGCTCATTGGAATATTTTATCAGGAAGGCTAACGGAACCCTAAGAAAATAAGTCCTGTAAATTATTTCCCCTCAAGTGCCTGAGCAGTGTTTCTGACACATGAACAGAGAGGCCTCTCCCTCGGTTTCTGGGGAAAGGAAAAATTGATCTCTTGATTAAAAGCACTTGTCCCACTCCTAGCAAAAGGGGAATGGAATCTAAGAAACACATTTGCAAATGGCTTCCAGGGTGAACATTGCCTTTTACAATATGGTGTGTAATGACCGACCGCCATGAAAAGTCTGAGCCCTGGTTCAATGTGCCGAGGACACGCTGAGCAAACAGGTGAGGTGTAAACAGAGTAAGCTCTGGGTAAAAGGCTGAACAGCTAGGGAAGCAGGGTGAGCGGCTTGGCTAACCAAGTCAGCCACAGGTGACTTCTTCCGGTTCTGCTTCTCCACTTCCACCTGCATCTTGGCCATGGGTTTTGCCATAGCTAAGGCTAGCTTGGCTTCCGCCTGCAGCTTCTTCTGCCGGCTCAGGAAGTCCATGTCCTCCAGAGACTCGGAGTCCTCCTCTCCGGTGTCCCTGTCCGAGTAGGATGAGCTCTGCTTGCTCTGAGTAGCGGGGCACAGATGGGAGGTGGGAGGATCGGCAGAGAAGCACACAGACGCACGCATTAGACTGAACTGATCCTTTGCACACACATTCCTTTTTTTTTTTATATACATTTTCATCGACTCTCAAATACACTCAATGAAACAAGCAAAGAGCCAAGTCCACATTCAAAGCCATTCCTCTACTGCTTTAAGTTAAACTGGAGTAATTGTACCAGACATATGTCATAGATTGATGGGTAGTGCTCAAACTGACACGGCTGTGATTTCTTAGGTAGGGGTCATCTTTTCACTTTCTGTTGGCTGCAGGTCAGACACAGCTATCACTTATAAACTTAGAATGACCATTAAAAAAACCCTACAGTAGGTGGATTTCTTTAGTAACGAGAGTGACACCTTAAATTTACTAGGCCACCGAAATGTGCTATCACACTATTACTAAGTATTTGTTACAATTATCATTATGATGGTTTTAGAAGCTTTAATAACAGGTGTCACTAATAACAGAAACAGCACAAACACACAGTTCTAGTTTCATTATGCACATTTGCCCGAAATAGGGCAAACAGCCCGAAGCCGCTGGGTGTTTAAGCTGTGTGAATCTAATTTGATTCTTGGTATATTTTCCCCTAAGAGTATTTAAAAATGTATCATTATGTCAGTGTCAGTTAGCCCTCTGAAACATTTCTGAAAGTTTTATATCAATTTCAAAATCCCAGTTAATATTTATTAACCCAATTCACAGGCATTTCCCAGTGACCTCTCTAAATAAAGCCACACTGTCACTGGCTCTCATATGCATTTATCATACTGTCCATAGAGATGGTTAACAGGGCCACAGCGAAGCCACACACCATAGGGGAAAGTGGGGTGTCCAGGCTGGTCTCCGTCTTGCTGTCATCCCCGTCGCTGTCCTTGTCACTGCTGCTGTCATTGACGAAGCATATCTGCAGGTTCATCCCGCTTTGGAGCCTGGGACAGAGGGGCGGGGGTGTCATTCGGGCATTTCTAGATGGGACAGAGGCCTGAATTACATCGCTCAACGTTTGGTTGGCAGCCCAAGCTCAGCCTTACTGGATACCTGTTTTTAATTTTGGATATCTCTGGATAATTCTGAATGTGTTCTGAGACTAATATGGCAAAAAAATGTGTTTCATCGGACTTCTGAATTTAACAGTGACAATTGTATGCATATCACCTGAGAATTTAAATTGTATTAACACTCCAATTGGATGTGTGACTGGTATGAAGACACAAAAATCTTCCCAGAAAAAAACTCCATTCATGACTAATGTCTAAATACAGCAGCATGTGTTTTAATTACAGCCAAAAGCCTACCTACATTTCACCTACACCAAGGCCTCCCACCACCTCTCTGAGGGCCAAATTCCACATTGGCTGCCATTGTTTTACGTCATTTAAGGCACATCACGATTGCTTTATTTTTTTATGTTATTTTTCAGTTATTTTTCATTTTGCCCTTCTATTTGCGTTTCACCTTTCCACTGTGTACCATTTACCCATCTGTTTTCTATATGTGCTTGTCCTATGCAGGGTCGGGGTGGGGGGGTGGGGTACCAGCCAGGGAACAACCCAGGGTGGGGCGCCAACACATTGGCTGCGTTTTCTTCCCAGTAGACCACTTGCAGCATATTATAATCACACTTTCAATTCACAGGGCACATGCACCATTCACACTTGCAGGCAATCTGGCAACTGGCAATTTGGAAGAACCTGCAAACTCCACACACACAGGCAGAGACACAAACCCTGATTCCAGAGGTCAATAGTCCTTACCACAGTGCCAGCATGCTGTTCCTTACTATGTTGTATATTTCTTTAATTTTTTTTTACTTCTATATATGTGATATTTTCCACTTGATGTTGAATGAGGCACTTGAAGAAAATTCTATATTTCTTTCCATTTCTGTGTAGTCCATTTGTAGGTGATCAGTATACCCTGAAAATAGTCGGGATTTTAATGAATCTGAAAGCTGAGCTCATGGGGGATGCTGCAGTGGTGCAGTGGGTAGCACTGTCGCTCACACCTCTGGGACCTGGGTGCGAGTCTCCTCCATGGCTCCATGTGTGTGGGGTTCGCATGTTCTCCCCATGTTGTGTTGTTGTGGGGATTCCTCCAGGTACTCTGGTTTTTTCCCCCCACTTTGCTGAGGTTAACTGGAGTTACCAAACTGCCCATAGGTGGTGCTTGTGTCTGTGTCATGTGACGCTTTGACACCCCATCCTGGGATGTTCCCACAGCCTGCAGACCCCCAGCTACCCTGAGTATGGTTCAGAAAATGCATGGATTGGCTCATTCGAAATGTAACTGATGGAGGTTCCGATAAGCCAAGGCTATAGTATTTTAAAAATAAATACTGTAATTACAAGCCATCTGTAATCTGAATTTCTGACATTCTTTAGCAAATATTTATTCAGCTCCTAAAGTCAATGCTTCCATAACAAAGGCTGCCACAAAAAAAGCAGTTAAGTAACATGCTTTTTTTCTGCTGGATCTGACTGCTGTATTAATAATAATGATGATAATAATAATTATTAATAATAGATACTTTACTGATCCCCATGGAGAAATCATCTTTACGCCTCCCCACACTTGCTCTTTGTAGAGTAAGCTGTCTGCGAAGGGCAGCCACCTGTTGCGGCACCCAGGGAGCTGGGGGTTAAGGGCCTTGCTTAAGGGCCCGCAGACCTGCCGAGGCCGGGTTCAAACTGGCGACCTTCTGATTACAGGCACAGCCCACTGAGCCACACGCTGCCCCCCATCTATCTGTCAGAGTGTTAATAAATGCAATACGAAATGCCTCGTTCAGTAAGAAACCCCTGAATCCTGAAAAGGGAGTTACCTGCGCTATAAGGCTTGGAATGTCCCCTGCAGCTCCCTGGAGAATGGCAGGCTGTACATAGTGCACTTCAGTCCTGGAAAGCCAGCTCCGCTAGATGAGCATGCTTCCAATAACTGCTCGGCAGAGTGGGAGTAACGCTACTCTTGTGACATGTGAGCACTTCCCTAAAATTGGTTTAAAAGAACCGCTGCTGTTTCTCCGAAGTTACTAATCATCCTCGACAGTTTCTTCCTCGTCTGTACTGAGCGTGCATGCTGAGCTTGGTGGCATTTGTATAGGCTCAGTTTGTGTCTGTAAGTGCCAACTTCCCTCTGGAGTTTTGTGTCATTAGTGTTTCCCTTAATCATCAACATCAAGCCATGTGCATATGAGCAACCTGGTTATAAGCTTCAGGAAACTGAGTTCTAGGGATGTTGGGTTTCCAGTAACCGAGAGAGAAAGGTTGGTGTTATTTATATAACGACGAAATGGCGCAGGACAATCAGGCAGCTTCATGCTCTCGCATCTGGTCTCGTGTGCAGGACAGTCTGAGGAAGCTGTCAGGTGCAGCAACGTCTTACTGCGCCGTGTGCAGCATGTCGAGTGCTCTATGTATTTAATGCACCGTACTGCAAGACGGAAACATGAATTAAGAAACAAGCTTAATATCATAGATCTCAGATGGTCCATGTATGAGTGTCGCCCCCTACAGGAATGGACCGTAAACAATCACTGCATGGTCCACCATTTTCTGAAGACACAGGGCATAACTTGTTCCTGATACTGTCTGTCCAGAGTAGCTCCTTGGGAATGCTGGAGCCTAACCACAGTTTCAGACTCGGGTAATTTCGCTACAATTCTCCAGTACTTTTACTGTAAGCCGCTTACTGTATTTATATCTTCATGGGGACTCTCCATTCATGTCTGTAGGCATAACTCTAATCCCAAATATAACGACCTTAACCATAATGTCGAAAGGTAAAAAAAAGTTTCTTCCAATATTTTAACTCCAAAAGAGCTCTAAAACTTGAAATTGCTAATTTGCAGTATGGTAAGGATCTTACAATTGAAAATGAAACTGATATAGTGCTAACATAAAGCCCATATTCAAATAAGGGGATAGAGGTAATCCAGCAAACTATAGGCCAATCAGTTTAATTTACATAACTGGAAAAGTAACGGAAGCTATAATCTAAGTGAAAATGGTAGAATACCTGGATTTAAATGACATTCTGATGGATAGCCAACGTGGATTTAGGAGAGGTAGATCCTGTTTAACTAATTTATTTGAGTTCTTTGAGGAAGCTACAAGTGAAATTGATCACAAAAAGGCCTACGATGTGATCTACTTAGATTTCCAAAAGGCCTTTGATGTTGTTCCCCACAAATGGCTCTTGCTTAAGCTCAAAGCTGCAGGGATTTTAGGAACTGTAGCAGCTTGGATCAAAAACTGGTTAACAGACAGGAAGCAGCGAGTAGTTATTAGAGGCACAATGTCACAGTAGGCCTGCGTTCATAGTGGGGTACCGCAGGGTTCAAATTTTGGGCCACTTATTCCTAATTTACATTAACGATATTGACCTCAATATATATAGTATACTGGTTAAATTTGCAGACGACACCAAGGTGGGTGGTGTAGTAGATACTGATCTAGCAGCGGAGAGGCTACAATGGGATCTTGATTTAATTAGTGACTGGCCTGATATTTGGCAGATGAAATTTAACATAGATAAATATAAGGTAATCCATGCAGGGAGCAGAAATATAAAGTACAGATATTTTATGGATTCCACTGAAATAAAGGTAGCTGATTATGAGAAAGACCTTGAAGTGTATGTTGATGCTTCTATGTCCCACTCTCGCCAGTGTGGGGAAGCAATAAAAAAGGCCAATAGGATGTTGGGTTACTTCTCTAGGTGTGTGAAGTTTAAGTCAAGGGAGGTGATGCTACGATTATATAATTCCTTGGTTAGACCCCACCAAGAATATTGTGTGCAGGTTTGGTCACCATACCTTAAAAAGGACATTGCTGCCTTAGAAAAGGTGCAACGTAGGGCTACAAGAATGATTCCTGATCTTAGAGGAATGTCTTATGAGGAGAGGTTAGCTGAGCTGAATCTGTTCAGCCTCGAGCAAAGGAGACTAAGGGGGGACATGATCCAGGTATATAAGGTTCTAACAGGCCTGGATGCTGTTCATCCAAATAGTTACTTCAATATTAGTTCAAAAACGAGATCTCATGGCCATAGGTGGAAATTGGCGGGAAAACATTTTAAAATGAATTTGAGGAAGCAGCGTGTAGTTAGAGTATGGAATAGTCTTCCTGCTAGTGTAGCGGAAGCTAAAACCCTGGGTTCCTTTAAATCAGAGTTAGATAAGATTTTAACTCTGAGCTATTAGTTGAGTTCTCCCCAAATGAGCTTGATGGGCCGAATAGCCTCCTCTCATTTATAAATTTCTTATGTTCTTATAGGTAACTAAACAAAATACAAGACTTTTGCCATTTTTAGTTTTTTGATTGCATCAGAGTTTTTTTTTATAAAACTGAGTTTCTCCTGGCGAAGACTGGAAAACTGTCCCCACAAGGTCAAAATTGCAGGTTTTTAATCACACTGTGCGGAGATTTGGTCCCCACAATGTAATATAAACATAACCCACAGAAAACACACACACACACACACTCACCGTGACGACAGGCTTGGCTTTCCACTTTTACTACAGCTGGTGTAGATCCCCGGCCCATCGTCGAAAAAGCTGCCCAGTGCCAGCTTCTGCCGGATGGACTCTCTCTCATTCTTCTGGGCCTGAAATGAGGGAGGGGGGACAGTGTCAGCACAGTCACATATGCACAGAAACAGGATAAATGGAAAGTATGGAACTCGCTCAGCAGAGTAGCCTACGGAGTTCCACGGATGGCCGTGCTGATGCTGACGACTCCACCTGCCTTTGGGGCAGAGGGTTTGCCCAAAATGGGCCGGTTTGCCAGGAGGAGCCGGTTAGCCCAAAAGGGGCTGGTTAGCCCAGAGGTGCTGGTTTGCCAGGAGGGGCCGGTTAGCCCAAAAGGGGCTGGTTTGCCCAGATGTGCTGGTTTGCCGGGAGGGGCCGGTTAGCCCATGCACTGCCTATGGATTACAGAGAGACATGTGGGTTTCTGTTCGGGTCGGTCTGATACTTTAAATTAAAGGTAATGCCTGGCTAAGTTTCAGATCCCATTTAGATCTGGCTTTTCTTTTTTGCAAAAAATCCATTTCTCAGAGGAACAAAAAACCCATAACCTTGGCAAGATACGCAATCTTAAGTGAATCGGCAAAGAAGTCTGCATGTTGTGACAGAAAATGGAAGTCAGCAAAATACTTGCCACTGGGTGGCACTGTTTTGCAAAGAAATTGAGCCCAGAGATAAACAGTGATTAACACCTCCTCAAAATAGAGGCAAACTGCTTCTGTTACACTCCTGAGGTACCTCTCTCCAGTACACACACATCCCATAGCTGTATATGACACACAGTATGCATATATTACGGCCACACTCACCATTCACTGTCTGGGGTCTCATTACAGATATTGGGCCCCAACCCAGACCACTCCAGAAATTGGTTAGAGGCCCTGTCAATCAGGGGCTCACAGAATAATCCAAACTCCCTGCCCCCCCCCCCCCCCCCCCCCCCCCCACCTTTATGGTGCCCCTGACGCCCCGTCTCTCTCACACTCACACACACAGAAGCATACGTAACCTCCTGAATCGCTGCACTCTCAGTTCCTGCACTGTCATACACTGTAAACCTACTGCACTCTGCAGTGCAACTTAAATTACACGCCTCCTTCACTTCCTCCTGTCTAAGATGAAATCCTCATAGTTTCTGATGATTATTACTACAAGTGTCCCACAAAGCCTATTCATAACGCGTAACATCTGCATGCTGAACACTCCTACGGCCATATGCACAGAGTCTGCAGCGGGGCGGAGCTGCACGATCACATGCTCTACACACAGTGAAGCCTGACAATGTGACGCGAACGCGCCTCAGCAGCCAGCGAGCGACACGGGAACAGGCAGCCGATGGCTTCTGAAGATCTGAGCGACGGGCCAATTAAAACCCTGGTGAGCAGACTGGGAAAGCCTGTCAACCCCCCCGGAGACAGGAGGACAGCCGGGAGAAAAATGATCTGGCTTGAGCACGACGGCCCCCTCTGGGTACGTCGATTCCTGAGCCCCCGGCAAACGAGATAACGGGGCTGCTTTGCACCAGTGAGCAGAGGGACGGGGAAGCCAGGGCCGGTGGGGGCGGCAGATCCAGGCAGCATATAACCATTCCTCCAGTTACAGAAAATGCTTTGGTGACTGGGAGTCACATTACTGTCCATTAAATTAAATGAATGAGTAAAGACATCACACCTGTCCAGGGGCGCAGACTGATACGGGCTGACGATAGCGGTAACGCGCGTCTTTGTGCCGGCGGGGTGGGCGTATGATGCCTCCCTAATATGGAGGCAGATGGGGGTTTGAAGCCGGAGTCTGTAATTCAATTCAATTTGCGTAATTAGACGTTTGAAGATGCTGCCTGATTTAGCAGCAGTGTTACAGGCCAGGGAGCTGCTGGGCATCTTAATGTACAGGCCGGAAGGGAAGTCCCACACTACAGCATTACTGCAGGAAACCTGGGGAGACCCGGCCTGGCAGCCCATGACCCGTATCAAATGGCCAGGCACCTAAAAGCCAAGACCCTCAAACCAACGACCTTCAGCTGGAAACCAAATGACCCGAAGAGTTCCACTACACAGCGGATGGCTGTCCAGAAATTACACTGAAGCAGACCCTGAGCCAAAAAGCAGGAGCCCCTGGGAGACCCCTAGGGAAACCCCCTGGGAGATCGGGACCAGTGCAGCTTCACCTTCTCCACTTGCCAGGGTAGTACCCATGGAGGGTGCTCAGATAGGTGTGATTGTGGGGCTTTACTTGTGTCTTCTGGGGAACAACTGGAGTCATAGAAGTCAATCTGGCGCCATTGCATAAGCCTGGCTGTCTTCATCTAACCCTCAGCAGAGTCACCATGTCCTACAAACCACCAGAGATCTGAAGTTCAGTCGCAGTTCTTCTTAACGAAAACTCACACATCCACTCCTGTTTGTTTTCTTGAGCGATTCCTCCTTCCACGCTACAGAAATGACACACTTTTGCCCAGCATGGAGTTTTGACAGAATTTTTCTGAAAATGTCCAAATGTCCAAACCTGCTAATGCTTTCGCTGGTTTAGGGGCACCCAGCGGTATTCTAAGGCAGGTGGGGGGACGGGGCCTGCAGTGCTGCTGATAGAGTGTGACCTATGACCCTCACCCATGTGCTGTAGTCACTCAAAGCTGTGAAACAACACAGCCACAGCAGACAGAGGAGTTACACACTGTGAGATCACGATCAAGGCTTTTTTGAGTCTTCAGGATGAAGTAATGTGAACAAAACTTTGCTTGGGTTTTTTCATTTTATCATTAAACGAAAAAAGTTTACCCTCAAATGACACTTTTAGGAACGCTGACCCAAAACATGCCTCTTTCTAAATAAGCGAAACCACTTTACATTTGACAGTAGGAGTGTCTGCGGCTTAAGCACTGAAGAGTTCAGTTTCGCTCTCTAATTTCTCTGTCATAACCTGTTACTTCCTGAAACTGACACATAACTCTCGTGCTCCGGTGTAGATTCTGAGACTGGCTGTGAGTTGTTCTCCACACGCTATCTCTAGACCGCCACTCCCCTAGAGGAGCTAGGAACGGGTCAAACTTTCTGCATTAATTATTTGGACGACACAGGCTCAGTTTTAACAGACTTTCTGTCAGGAAAATCTAGATCTTAAGCACTCCATACCTTGTGTCAACATGTCACAGGAATGGCCACTCGCGTATCCCACAATCCCACTGGACCGGCTTTGAGCAGGGTTGCTGCATGGCATTGATCAGCAACTCAGGCAGTACTGAAGAATGCATTCCCTAGCAATGCCCCACAGCTGTTTATGTTCGAGACTCATCCAGAATACTGACGACACCTTAGTGATTTCCATTTACAAAGGGCCTTTATTGCCAGACAATCCAAACACGCTTGTGAAGGCAACGGACTGTTTATGTCACATGACCCGACCCTGTACACAGCTCTCTTACCTCTTTGTAATCGTCTGCGAGGCAGACTGCATACATTCTGCTGATGACATCATTCATTCCACTGTTATCCATGATATCACACGTTGGCTTCCAGGCTGGGTCCTCCCACACACGCACACATGCACGCACACTCAGTCACACATGCGTGCCTCCTACACACCCGGGCACGACGTGTGGGTCAAAGCCAGCTCAGTCACATCAGATCCAACTGTCCAAGATCAGATTAAACCAAATCCAGCCAAATGAAGCCAACTCCGAATAAAAACCAAACTGAACAGTGCCGCAAACTCATGCGATATCCATCAGGGCTGATAGCTGGCTCCTTTTCCTTCAAACAAACGAGGCTTGTCTGCTTATTCCTCAACGGACAGAGAGTCCTCCAGTCCCTGACTTCCTCCTCTGGGTCGAGCAGGGCAGGGCTAGAAGGTGAGAGAGACAGGAGCCTCTGTTTCTTCGATATTCTGCCCCTTCTGACACCATAACATGAGAACAGCTGTTGCCCCCCAGCCCATCTGGAAAGCGATACCAAGGCGGTCGTGTCAGGTGAGGAGGTGGCGGACGGTCGGCGGGTTGGGGGGTTGTGAGCACAGGAGTGTCCTACTCTTTCTATTGCCCCTCCATCTGCCTGCGCCCCCGCTCTGTCTCACAGGGCAGAGAAGCCTCCTCCCCCTGTCCTCCCTAATAAAGGCACCGGTAGGCCGTGCAGGAATCTGCCACGGTAAAAATAGAATGGGTGCTGGCCTGGACCATGTGACCTGCCAACAGAGGACGAAATAAACGAAGAAGGAAAATAAAAGATGAAAGGAGCCCAGGTGCTGAGCACATGTCTGGCAGAGATGCCGAGAGGAGCCAGGAAAGATCTGCTCGTTGGGTCAGTGTGTTATTCTGCAGCACCTCGCAACGCCAATCACCCTTTCTGGGCCGTAATTCTGCCGTTTTGAAGGAGAGCCCTCACTGTATAACAGGAAACAGACAGAGTGAGTGTCCCTCCAAAATGTTATTTATTTGTTTGTTTATGTTTATCCTTTATTTAACCAGGAACATCCCAGTGAGATACCTCCTCTTCCAGGGAGTCCTGGGGGGTATTCCATGAAAGTAGCTAAAGAAAGCCAGACTCTCCCGAAAAAGTCAGACTCAAACTAGCGCCATCTCTAAACTTAGCCTCCTGTCGTTCCACTAACGCAGTTCAGATTTAACTAATCAAGGCCCATACAAAACAGATTTGCATAGTCTCACTTAGTGCACACACCCGAGATATTTAAGAAGCCCAAATGAATGGATGAATGATAGATTGATCAAAAGCGCGTAAAACGAGTGGTGTTTTTTTTTCTACCACAGAACAAATGCTGCTGATTGAACTGTATGAAAAATATAAAGATGTAATCACTAAAAAAGGCAATACTGTGTTCATAAATAAAGCCAGGGAGTTGGCTTGGCAAAGAGTTGCAGACAGACTAAATGCGTAAGTTATGTAAATGTTACAAGTGCCTAATACGGTGGTACAGTGGTTTATGCTGTCGCCTTATAACGACTGGCTGGTTCGATCCCTATAGCCAACGGGATAACCTTCTGCGTTACGTTCACTGTCATTCTTACGGTATAATGTTATTCTGTATTATTTGATCTCTGTAAAATACTTTGAATTTCATCTGTGTGAAA